TGTAAATCTATTTTCCTTATCATTTTTTTGAATATTCTCTTTTTTGCAACTTACTTTATTGTAAGAATACAGTATACAAGACATATAACATACAAAATATGTACTTATTTATGTTATCATTAAAGCTTCCAGTCAACAGGTTATTAGTAGCTTCTCCCCATGTTGTTCAAGGGTGAACTGTATTATGGATGTAATGTACAACATGAAGACTACAGCTAATACTGATGTATGATATACAGAAAAGTTCGTAAGAGAATAAACCCTAAGAGTTCTCATCACGAGGAAATTTTTTTTTCTCTTTCTTTCCTTTTTACCGCATCTATATTAGAAGATATCAGCTGATATCAGCTGAACCTATTATGGTAATATTTCACAATATGTGCAAACCAAACCATCATGCTGTATGCCTTAAACTTATACAACAATGTATGTCAATTTTTTCTCAATAAAACCAGAGAAAAAGAAAAAAGAGAATTAAAGAGTACTGTCTCTTATGATGCAAAATTCCTCAACAAAATAATGGCAAGCTGAATTTAGCAGCATACGAAAAGGATTACACAACATGACCAAGTGGGATTTATCCCAAAATACAAGGTTGGTTCACCATATGAAAATCAATTAATGTAAGATACCAAATTAAAAGAATTAAGGGGGGGAAAAAACCAACATGATCATCTCAACACACACAGAGAAAAGCATCTGACAAAATCCAACACCCATTCATGATAAAAACACTCAACAACTAGGAATGGAAGGGAACTTTCTCAATCTGATAAAGAGCATTTATGGAAAACCCACAGCTAACATCATAGTAAATGGTGAAAGCCTAATAGCTACCCTCCTATAATCAGGAACAAAACAAAGATATCTACTCTTGTCACTCCTACTCAACACTGTACTGAAGTTCTAGCAAGGGAAACTGAGCAAGATACTAAGAAATAATAGGTGTCCAGATTGGAAAAGAAAAAGTAAAACTATCTATGGATAATTTATTTACAGACACGTTCATAATATAGAAAAAACCTAAATAATCAACAAAACAACTAGTAGAGCCAAGAAATGAGTTCAGCAAAGCTACAGGATATAAAATTAATATACAAATATTTGTTGCACTCCTATACACTAGCAATGAACAATCTGAAAATGAAATTAAGAATTCCAATAGCATCAAAAAGAATAAAATACTTAAAGAATAAATTTAACCAAAGTACAAGACTTGAAGACGGAAAATTACAAAACACTGCTGAAAGAAGAAAAACATCTAAATAAATGAACAGACAACACATATCTGTGGATTGGAAGACATAATGCTGTTAAGATGACAATATTCCCCAAACTAACTTACAGATTCAATGTAATCCCTATCAAAAACCCAACTGGTTTCTTTGAAGAAATTTACAAGCTGATCCTAAAATATGTATGGAAATTGAAGGAACTCAGAATGGTGAAAATAATCTTGAAAAAGAACAGCTAGAAGACTCACAGTTCCTTATTTCAAAACTTATCACAAAGCTATAATAATCAAGACACAACATGACCAAGTGGGATTTATCCCAAAATACAAGGTTGGTTCACCATTTGAAAATCACAAAGACCAACAGGTCTACAATTAGACCAATGAAATAGAATTGGGAATTCAAAAACAAACTTATACATTTATGTTCAACTGATTTTCATCAAAGATGAAAATGGAGAAGGAACAGTCTTTTCAACAAATGGTGGCAGGACAACTAGGTATTTACATACAAAAAAAACGAATTTGAACTCCTATCTCAACCATAAAAGCTAACTCTTTTAAGGACCAAAGACCTAAATGTAAGAGCTAAAAAATATAAAACTCTTAGAAACAGAGGTAAAAATCTGTGTTTTTTTAGATATGACACCAAAAGCATAAGCAATCAAAGAAAACTAAACTGGACTTCCTCAAAATTAAAAACTTGTGCATCAAAGCTCATCATCAAAAAAGTAAAAAGACAATCCACAGAATGGGAGAAAATAGTTGCAAATCATATATCTAATCAGAGACTAATAACCAGAAAATATTCTTAAAACTCAACAATAAAAAGATAAACCTAGTTGAAAAATGGGCCAAGAATTTGAATAGACATTTCTCCAAAACCAATGTCCAATAAGCACATGAAAAGATGATCAATATTATTACTCATTAGGAAAATGCGAATCAAAACCATAAGATACCGCTTCACACCCACTAGTTTTAATTTTTTTCAATGGATAATTACAAGTATTAGCAAGGATTTGGAGAAACTGGAACCCTCACACACTGCTAGTGGCAATAGAAAATGATATAGCTGCTTCGAAGAACAATTCGACAGTTCTTCCAAAAGAATTACATAGGGGTGCCTGGGTGGCTCAGTTAGTTAAACATCTGCCTTCAGCTCGGGTCATGATCTCAGGGTCGTGAGATCAAGCCCCTCATCTAGCTCCCTGCGCATTCAGCAGGAAGTCCGCTCACTTTCTCTCTCCAGCCCCCAAAATAAATAAATAAATCTAAAAAGAAAAAAGAATTACATAGAATTACGTATGACCCAGCAAGTCCATTCCTAGATATACATACTCAAAAGAACTGAAAACAGGTATTTAGGGGTGCCTGCGTGGCTCAGTCCTTAAGCATCTGCCTTTGGCTCAGTAAATGTTCCTGGGGTCCTGGGATCGAGCCCCGCATCGGGCTCCCAGCTCAGCGGGGAGCCTGCTTCTCCCTCTCCCACTCCCCCTGCCTGTGTTCCCTCTCTTGCTGTCTCTCTCTCTAACAAATAAAATCCTAAAAAAAAAAAAAAAAACCACCCAAAAACCAGGTATTTAAAAAATACCTGTACATGAATGTTGATATTTACACTATAAACAATAGCCAAAAGTGTGGAAATAACCCAAATGTCCATCAACTAATCAATGGGTAAACAAAATGTGGTGTATCCCTACGATGGAATGTTATTCATCCATAAAAAGAAATAAAATACTGATGCATGTTACAATGTGGATGGACCTCAAAAACATGGTAAGTGAAAGATGTCAAACACAAATGATCCCATACTGTATGATGCCACTTCTCTGAAATATCCTGAATAGGTAAAGCCATAGACACAGCAAGATTAGTGGTTGTCAGGAGAGTAACAGGCAATAGAGAGTGACTACTTAATTGGACTTAATGGGTTTCCTTCTGGGGTGATAAAAATGTTCTGGAACTAGAGGTAATGGTTGTACAACACTATAAATGTATTAAAGGCCACCATATTGTGCATTTATAAAATGGGTGACTTTATGCTGTGTGAATTTACCTCCATAAGAAAAAAAAAAAGTAAAAGCAAATGTTCACAGAAAATCTTGTACACAATTGTACACAGTATTATTCATAATAGCCAAAAAGTGGAAACACCCCAAATGTTCACCAGCTGATGGATAAACAAAACTGATATATCCAAACAATGGAATATTATTCAGTCATAAAAAAATGAAGTACTGTCACATACTCAATATGGATGAACCTTGAAAATATTATGCAAAGGGAAAGAAGCCAGACACATAAAGGCCACCTATTGTTAATTCCATTTATATGAAATGTCTAGAATAGGAAAATTCATTGAGACAGAAAGTAGATTAGTATTTGCCAGGGTACAGGTGCAGGGGAGAATTGGAATTAACTGCTGGTAGGTATAGGGTTTGTTCTGGGGGTAACAGAAATATTATGGAATTAGACAGTGCTGATGGTTGCACAACACAGGGAAAATGTGAAAAACCACTGAAGTATATGTATTACAATGATGAATTTTATATAATGTGAAATATATAAGTAAAAATAAAAGCAAGACTTAATCACTTGTTTACATATTAAATATAAAGACACAGTTAAAAGTAAAAGGACAGAGAAGGATATAACATGCTAACAATCAAAAGAAAATAAGAGTTGCTATGTTTTTATCAGACAAAGTAGACGATAAAACCAAGAGTATTTCAAAGATAAAGGGGATCATTTTACAGTGATAAAGAGGTTAATGCATCAAGAAAATATAATAATCCTAAATGTTTACATTCCTAATAGAAACTTCAAAATACATGCTGCAAAAATTAATAAAATTGCAAAGAAACAGACAAACCTACAATTATACTTGGACATTTCAACATGCCTCTCTCAATAATTTATAGAACAAGTAGATAGAAAATCAGTAAGGACACAAAAGACTTGAACAACACTATCAACCAACCTGACCTGAATGACATTTATAAAACACTCCCAACAATAGCTGAATAAACATTCTTTTCATGTGCACAGAAATATTTACAAAGATGGACCATATTCTGGGTCATGAAACAAATCTCAACAAATTAAGGAATCCATATCTGTTTTATTTTTAATATAAACCAGTATTAGAGGGGTGTTGAGGGAGACTGGCCCCTAAAGGGAGCATTTGGAAATGGGTGGAGATGGAATTTGGTTGTCACAATGACTTGGCAGATCTACTGAGGACAGTCCAACATCATAAAGTGATGTCCTAATCCAAAATACCAATAATGTCACCATGTGTCCCCACAGTGCCAATTGAAAAACATCATTCTAAACCAGTCAGGAAATCCAGGAACTAGAAGAGTTACATGTGAAAGTTATAGAAGGTCTTAGCTGTCCAGCTGCTCTATTCTCACCTCTACATAAAACAGAAGTATAATGTGAGGAAAATTAGTAAACACCTGTCAAGTGCTTATACTACTAGGAATAAAGATATAGACAATTCACGAAATAACTAACACTTTTGTTTAAAAATAATCATTCACAAAAGTAATTTATCAACACACTAATAAAGTTAGAATAAATGTTCAAGAATGCAAAGAAAAAAACTACATCTTTTTGAAAAAACATTATAAAAATAAATCTCTTCCTTACTTCTTTAAAATAGACAAATTTTCTTTCCTCTGTAAATTAGGAATAATAAGTAAGTATAGACCAATGTACCTCTCACATGGTAACAGTTTCATTACTTTAAGCATCTCACCTTATGAGCTGCAAAACTGGATTCATTTTTTTCCAGTGCTCTTTTTGCATACTCTAGGGCTTCATAGACCAAGAGTTTTTTCTCCTCTTCTGAGGTCCCACTAAGCTGAGCTATATCACGTGATGCCCGTGCCAATCGCCACAGTAACTCTGCATCTTCACTAATTTGAAATAAATATAAAATAACCATTTTAGCTCACATTTAAAAACTGTTAAAGGTCACATCACTAATGAATAAATATGATGGTCTTTCAGGTCAGTGAAGATATAGCAGTATCAAAAGCCATTATTCATAATGTTGTATTTTCACATAAAAACTTTATTTGCTAAAATTTCCTACAAAATATCCAGTATCATATATAAATATTAACTTTCCTAAATTATCTAAAATACTAACTTCCTCGGGCACCTGGGTGGCTCAGTGAAGCGTCTGCCTTTGGCTCAGGTCATGACCCCAGGGTCCTGGGACGGAGGCCTGCATTGGGCTCCCTGCTCATCGGGGAGCTTGCTTCTCCCTCTCCTTCTGCTGCTCCCCAACCCCTGCCCGTGCTCTCTCACTCTCACTCTCTCTCAAGTGAATAAATAAATAAAATACTAACTTCCTTAGAAAATATCTTTGTATTTGAATTCTCTAAACACCTGCACTACAAAATTCAACATATAACCTAAGGCTTGAGACACTTCAGACAACTCACTAACTGGTTCAGACAGTACCATAAAAATTCACAAACTTTAGAGAGTGGGTCATGCTCAACAAAACAAAACTGCTATATCCCCAGCTCCAAATATAGTACTGGCAGACAATAGGTATATGATAAATATGTTAATAAATAAATGATTGAATATAACAGAATCTCAAAATAAATCTTGTTTGAATGTGTCATCCATGCCATGATGCATGGGAATATTTCAAGTGAGGGCCTGGACTCCTTGAAGAATTTCCATATGAATATACTTATATAAAATAAGAAATGGTTAATAAATAAAATAGCAACCACAATTAAGAGTTAGAAATATTTTTAAAAACATTAAAACTCCTTTTTATTAAATGTCTTTAAGCCCATTATATATTTACCAAAATATGGTATTCACATAAAATTTTGAAACTAAAGGTAGCAATAGTATATTTATAATTAAATTATAGTAACTATCTTATAGCTTACTTTTCAAGTAATGACTAAAATGACTATAAAATGCCAAACATGATACTACAAGTAACTAAGGGAAAAATGGAGAAGAAAAAGTGGATTCTAGAGATATTTAGGAAGTAAAATTGATGGGTCATGAAGAGAGAACTGGTCTTAGGAATCTAAGAAAGGTAGCTGAAAATGACTCAGTATTTTTAGTTTAGGATTAGGTAATCTGTGACCTGGAAATGCCAATTTAGCCTTATTAAACCTATTTTATAGCGCAGACTCTCCTTCCACCTACATCCTCCCCAAAACTAACTGCACACTGATACTCTGGACTAAACATGTAACCTAATACTAAAAATAGAAAAAGGAGTTATTTTTAGTTTCTCTAAAAAAACTGCTTCTAAAGTGATACACAGATACTATTCAATGATGCCATACAAACATCCTAATTCATTTACATCTTATGCCAGTAAGAAATTCACTTAAAAAAATGAGAAATATACAATATAGATAACCATATATTCAACGACTACCTCATATGATCCAAAGCAAAATAACAAAATAAAAAAAATACTTCAACATTCCACTAGAATGAGTAAGGAGAATCACCTTTTCTAAATCAATGACATGTAGCACTTGTAAATCATTTACTGTAAGAAACATACTATAAATTAAACTATAAAAGATATTATTTTGCAGTAAAAACTTTAAAAATGTATAAAAATTTCAAGCACCAAGAGTCATTTTAATTGTTAAATAACAAAAATTTTGAGGAAACTGAAAACTCAGGCTTATCATACACTGCCTACCTTTCCTTGTATTCAGTCAGCAATTGATAAAGTTTCTCTGTTTCTCCACTCTCATATAGGTAATCTGCTTGTTCGAGAATTTCTTCAACTCTGAAAACTAAAAATGAAAAAAGACACAATAAAGTAGGTCTTCCCAAGCCAACAATTCTAAGAAACAAACATTTTCATATATAAGCAAAAGAAATTAGCTATAAAAATCACCTATAAGAAGGATCAGAAATTCTGAATAATCTAGATATAAGTGTAGTAGGTAAGGATGAAGCTATCACGGTAAGTGGTTTATTGAAATCACAGAAATTTAAAAAATTAGAAAACTTATTGTGGAACTAACTATGATACATTTTTATTTATTTATTTATTTATTTTTTTATTATTTTTTTTTATTTTTTTTTTTTAAAGATTTTATTTTTATTTTTTCATGAGAGACAGAGAGAGAGAGAGAGAGAGAGAGGCAGAGGGAGAAGCAGGCTCCCAAGGAGCAGGGAGCCCGATGCGGGACTTGATCCCAGGACCCTGGGATCATGACCTGAGCCGAAGGCAGACGCTTAACCATCTGAGCCACCCAGGCGCCCTATTTATTTATTTTTAAAGATTTTATTTATTTATTTGAGAGAGAGAATGAGAGAGCATATGGAGGGGGGAGGGTGAGAGGGAGAAGCAGACTCCCTGCCGAGCAGGGAGCCTGATGCAGGACTCGATCCTGGGACTCGAGGATCATGACCTGAGCCGAAGGCAGTTGCTTTAACCAACTGAGCCACCAGGCACCCCTAAATATGATACATTTTTAAAAATGAAGAAAGTAGGGTGCCTGGGTGGCTCAGTGGTTAAGCGTCTGCCTTCAGCTCAGGTCATGATCCCGGGGTCCCGGGATCGAGTCCCGCATAGGGGTCCCTGCTCGGCGGGGAGCCTGCTTCTCCCTCTCCCACTCCCCCTGCTTGTGTTCCCTCTCTCACTGTGATTCTGTCAAATAAATAAATAAAATCTTAAAAAAAAAAAAAATGAAGAAAGCAATTTCCTGTGAGGAATTTATGGTACTCTTCCCCTCCATACACACAAACTCTTTGTTGCTGTTGCTAAGTGCCATCCATTGCAGAAAATGATGATATAACATTGATTTCCAGCACTGAAAATTATTACTTCGCATGGACTGCACCACACTGTTTCACTAGATTCTCTTTATGACCTAATTTACACAAACACTGCTATGGAAAAAGAATCAAATTTGTCATCAAGGGGCACCTGGGTGGCTCAGTCGGTTAAGTGGCTGCCTGTGGCTCAGGTCATGATCTCATGGTCCTGGTATCAGGCCCCCTGTCGTCCTCGTCAGTCCGTAGGGCTCCCTGCTCAGCGGGGTGTCTGCTTCTCCCCTCTCCCTCTACTCATCCCTGCTCATGTGGGCGCTCTCTGGCTCTCTCTCTCAAATTAATTAAAATCTTAAAAAAAAAAAAATTGTCATCGAAAACTTAGATGAACTTAACTACACAGAGAATCTGAAATTTACCTCACTGGCACTCTGCTCCAACCAATTCATTTACTTGTTTATACCTTACTAGAAAATATATAAACCTTATAGACAATGTAATGCTCTAAAAAAAGTTGACTAGTTCCCGAAAAAAACAGTAAGCTTGAATTTCAGGATAGTCCCCCATTATTATAATAAGGAACATACATATTTGTCTTCTATAAGGGTACTGTATTACTTAGTCTTACATATAAGCCAACATTTCAATATATTCAATTATGTTTATTATTTACCTTAGTATGCTTTAATTGATAATAGTGTATTTGAGGTTGAATTTTTTTTAATTTTTGAAAAATTAAAACCTAGACCAGAAAAAAAAAAGCTCCTGAATCTGACACAACTATGTAAACTGAAGTATTTTTTACTAAGTTAACATCATAATGTAATTATAAAACTAGCTTAAAAAAAATTAAATGACAATAGCAAATTCTTCTTTAATCCTACTTCAATCTGGTTGGGTGCCATAGTTCAATATTCATATGGCTGGTTGATTTTCTTAAGTTTGCTTCCATTTTATTGTACACTTTTATCAGTAGCTGATTCTCCAAATTAAGGTTATAACAACCCAAAGATTTTTTTTTTTAAGATTTTATTTTTTTAAGTTATCTCTACACTCAACCTGGGGCTCAAACTTACAACCCAGACATCAAGAGTTGCATGCTCTACACCAAATGAGCCAGCCAGGTGCCCCAACAACCCAAAGATTCTTAAAAAGAAAAAATAGTAATCTTAGCATTCTTATTCAATATTTGTGTTAGGCAGGATAATGGCCCTAAAAATGTCTACATCTTAATCCCTGGAACCTGTGGAAACGTACAGGTTACATGGCAAAGGGGAATTAAGTTTTTAACTAGAATTAAGGCTATTCATCAGCTAACCTTAAAACAGGAAATGATCCTGGATTAGCCAGGGGGCCCAATATAATCACAAGAGTCCTTCAAAGTGGAAGAAGAAGGCAGAAGAAGAAAGTAGGTAGGAGGCAGAACAATGAAAACAAGGCCAGAGTGAAATGATTACTGGCCTGAAATATGGAGGAAAGGGGTCTTCAGCCAAGGAATGTGGAAAACCTCTAGAAACGAAACAAGGAAAGAGATTCTCCCCCAAAGCCTGGAACACAGCCTTGCCCAACTTGTTGATTTTAATCCAGTGGGACCCATTTTGGACTTCTGAACTATAGAACTGTATGATAATAAATTTATACTGTTTTAAGTTACTAAGTCTGTGGTAATTTGTGACAGTTGCTGTGACAGAAAACTTATACAATATTAAATATATTGATCTGACATATTCGAATGTATACATTGTATGTGTAAATAACAAAGTTACATTTAATTCTATTCATTGATTTTTCTCAGACTTTCTGAGAAGACTGACAGAGATTACTGTCCTTAACATGATCTAGGAATGCTGCATCTCATCACCCATGTAATTAAAAGAAAAATATAGAAATTAAGTGAATAATTTAAAATAGTTCAAATCCTTTTTGTGTGTACTATTCTTTTTTAACTTCTTAAATCACTTATCTATTTTTTTATTATATAGTACAATAAGCTACAATATCCAGGCTTTAAATATGTATTTTTTTCTTGAGTCTTAAACAGAAATTTCTAAAATCATACAGTGTGCAATTTACAAGAAAAAATACTCTTACTCTGATACTACAAACACCACAGGCACTAGGTTGGGAGCATGTACACCACTCATATCTGCAAATCAGCTGTGTGGGCTTTTTTACTTGTTTAATGTTCTGCAGTTTTCCTGAAAATATTTAAAAAATAAGCTATGCTACTGACATAAAGAGACCATATCGTTAAAATGGGCTAAACTTTTAAAGTTACTTTTCTACTTAATAATGAATATCCCAAGATGAACTGAGATATTAATTCAACTGTACAAAACTAAATTTAGCCTACAATGAATATGCACAAGATCATCTTTTTTTTTTTTAAAGATTTTATTTATTTATTTGACAGAGAGAGACACAGCGAGAGAGGGAACACAAGCAGGGGGAGTGGGAGAGGGAGAAGCAGGCTTCCCGCCGAGCAGGACCCTGGGATCATGACATGAGCCGAAGGCAAACGCTTAACGACTGAGCCACCCAGGCGCCCCACAAGATCATAATTCTTAGAATTTTAAAAAATGTCACTGATACGACATAAATTAGTAAACTTTGGTCTTCTAGTTTTTCTTGCTAAGTGTACTCTTAGCCATGTGAGATGTATCTGCACAAAAAGAAATACTCTACTCCTCAAAGTAAGCAATCTACTTCTGGAAATTTCTCCCTACAGAAATTAAAAAGTAGAAAATGAGTACCTAGATTCTCCAGGATTTTTCTAGATGCTAGAAGGCTCTAAGTAGCAACAACATCATCAAAATTTAAGGCAAATCTTTCACACCAACAATACTGTGTCTCAGCAGTACTGAAAGCAGTGCCTCTAAAGATGCCCTGTAGTAGTACAAAGGACTACAGATGAAGGAGCACTGGCCTCGGTTCTGTAGATTCATCAAAGAAGAATCAATGAAAGTCTATGAAGAGACAACTGAAGTGATTATATGAAGAACCTTTATTTAAGATGGGCCACTTGTAATTATCTTTTAGGCATTTTACAAGTGAACTTTCACATATACACACACAGACACGAGTACTGTGACTATATTAGCATATCTTGAAGGCCTTTAAATTTTGTCTATTTTAAAGAAATAATGAAAAACTTTCTACTGGAGTTCTTCAATTATGGCCGACAAGTGGGTATTTGCTCTATCCTGTGGTAAATATAGACGTTACCATTTTAAAAAAGAGTCCCACAACCCCATCCAACTGAAATGTCAAAACATATGTATGCCCTTGGGATCCCTGGGTGGCTCAGTCAGTTAAGAGGCTGCCTTTGGCTCAGGTCATGATCTCCAGGTCCTGGGATCAAGCCCCACGTCAGGCTCCCTGCTCAGCAGGAAGCCTGCTTCTCCCTCTCCTTCTACCTGCCACTACCCCTGCTTGTGCTCTCTCTCTCAAATAAATTAAAAAAAAAAAAATCCTGATTAAAAAATAAAGTTTGTCTTGAATCCAGCAATCTTGCTGAACTTTCTTAAAATATATATATATATAGGGGCACCTGGGTGGCTCAGTTGTTAAGCACCTGCCTTCGGCTCAGGTCATGCTCCCAGGTCCTGGGATAGAGCCCTGCATCAGGCTCCCTGCTCCACAGGAAGCCTGCTTCTCCCTCTCCCACTCCCCCTGCTTGTGTTCCCTCTCTCACTGTGTCTCTCTCTGTCAAATAAATAAAATCTTTAAAATATATATATATATATATATGCCCTTAATTTCTAAAAACATAATTCAGAATATGATTGTATCCCAGTAAATGAAGAAGGAAAAAATGTTTTAATTGGCTTCAATGAGCATGAAGCAGCCCTAAAGAGAAGTAAGCAGTTTTGATGAGTGGAATTATCTGAAGACCATTTCCTAAAAAATATGAAAAATAAAGATCACAGTATAGCAAATAGGAGAGAGAGAGATGACAAAGTAAAACTTGTAAGGACTGATGAAATTATAGTTTTATAGAAACATGGATCATTTTCCAAGTTAAAAAAAATCTCTCTCTACATTTTATCAGTAACTGATGTTTTTTCAAGGGCAATGGCCTAGTTGCACAAATTATAATGAACATGCCAATCAACTAATTATAAAGTGACATTTTATTTAAGAAAACAAAGCTAAAGAAAATCAAAGCAAGTTAAATAAATATCCATACTCTGTTCTTTGTATTAACTTTCTAAGTGCTCAAAATATGCTTGAAAACACAGGAAGGATTCTACAATATATGGCAATTTTCATTAAAATCTTTAATAAAGACAATTAACTTAGTTTTCAGAGTAAGTTATACCTTGGAATATTAAAATGTTATATTTTTTTTAAGGTCAAATCAAGGTTTCATTTGGAGTTAGGACTAGAACTAACATTTCAAGTTGTTTGCATAAACTTTTACTTTTACATTCATAGAGGAAGTTACAACTTTTTTTTTAAACAGCATATAAATGAACATATATATAAGCCAGCCAGAATGAAAGAATTAGCATATATTGGATGAAAAGAAACAGAATTTCTATAACACATTAAACAGATATATCATACATTCTTTCAGACCAAAGAGCAACTACACACACACACACACACACACACAAGAATTCAAGTTTATTCAAAAGTTTGATATACAATCCTACGACTACTATCTCTGCTTTTATAACTACAGGATCAAACTTTAAAGCTTGATCTCTTTCTGACTTTCCCAAAGTTTTTCTGCACTCCTTCTCAAATGGATCTCCTCTTCAAGGGTCAGCTTTATCTTAATAAGGTTTCCAATACCATTCTCTCCCAGAATACAAGGAACACTAAGGAATACTTCTTCATTTATTCCAAGAGGCCCTTAGTTATGGTGGAAACTGGATGCACTCTCCTAAGATTCTTCAAAATGCTTTCTGTTAAATCAGCTACAGACAGGCCAACAGCCCAATTAGTATAACCTTTCATTTTAACCATCTCATAGCCACGGGTTATCACTTCTTTGCGGACATTTTCCCAGTGCTCAGAATCTTTATCTGTTCCTATATCTGAATTCAGATCCTTCAAGGGGATACCAGCAATGTTAACTCCACTCCACACAGGTACAGTTGAGTCTCCATGTTCTCCAAGGATCCATCCATGACAGCTTTCTGAGTGGATACCAAGTCTTTGCCCAATAAAGAAAAGGAAACAGGCAGTGTCCAGATTACAGCCACTTCCAATAACACAGTTATGGGGAAATGCACTCAACTCCCAAGCTACATTACATAAGTTAAGATATCCACTGGATTGGAAACAACTACCATTTTGCACTGGGGACTATACCGGGTAATGTTGGAAATCATTAATTTAATGATGGACACATTTCTCTTGACTACATCAAGGCGTGTTTCTCCTTTTCTTGTGTGTGCACCTGCTGTGATATCACTAGGTTGGAGTTTGCAGTGACATGGTAATCTTTGCTGGAAACAATATTTGGCATTTTCATGAAAGAGCTGCCATGTTGAAGATCCACTGTCTCACCCTTCAGTTTGCCTTCATCAACATCCACAAAGGCAAGTTCATCACTCAAGCCTTTTAATAAGATGCTGATAGCACATGCCATGCCAACTGATCCAGTTCCTATAATAGAGATCTTATTGTGATAAATGGTCTCCTCTGAAGTGAAATTCTTAATAAGCTCGCACCTGACAGTTGCCATCTTGGAGACAGGGATGAAGGACCAACTGTCCCTGAGAGGGGTGCATATCACCTAGCAGGGATGCAGAGCCATCTCTAGGCAAAAGACATTCGCTCCTACAGGGCCTAGTCTCCTGCTCGCCCACAGGACTTCCCCAGCCCAGCTCCTAGCGGCTGGCTCAAGAGGTGAAGGAAGGGAATGGAGAAAAGCCACCTCAAAGTTCTTTGAAGCACCAAGTAAGTAAGCAGTTGAAGGTTTAATGCCCTACCACCTCACCCCCCACCCAGCTCACTACTGCAGTTGTGCAAGACCAAACCCAGCTCGTGCGGGCCCCACAAGGGTCCAGCACCTTAAAATGTTTTTTAATTTACTGAATCTGCAGTAATTTTAAATAAAGGCACATTTGAAAAAATGGACTATTACCGTTAAAGCTAAAGTTAATTTCAGCTTTGCCTTTCAAAGTGCCATATTTTGTTGCTCAGGGAAGCCCTACATCTTTGCACTCATTTCTGTAAGGACAGGGTGCTAAAGCACACTGAAACTAAGTGTGACAGACCAAAAAAAATTGATTAGAGTTCTAATCTCTGCTCTGACACTTTGACTTTGAAGAAGTTAAACTGTGAGCTTCTTTTTCAAAGGTTAATACTATAATGGGTGGAGCCTGGCTGGCTCAGTCAGTAGAGCTCCTGACTCTTGACTTCCGGGTCCTGAGTTCCAGTGCATGTTGGCTACAGAGTTTAAAATAAAATAAAATAAAAAACAAACAAACAAAAACACCTAGAACGGAACACACACACACAGATCAAAATACTAAAACTGCAACCACTGGGCACATCTCTCAGGGATACATTTTAAAAAATTATTATCATGTCGTAATACAGTTTGTCCTTACTACTTAGAAGGTTGCTGTAAGAATTGAAGTTAGGTGAAAAGTTTAGGGAACCAAGTCCTCTACTTTATCCATCATAAAAATTATATATAAAAGGAAAGATAAAACAAAAACACAGCAATTCTCAATTATCTGCTCTTTTATTTGTTTTTAAGATTTTATTTTTATTTTATTCATGAGAGATAGAGAAAGAGGCAGAGGGAGAAGCAGGCTCTCTGCAGAGCCGAAGGCAGTCACTTAACCAAGTGAGCCACCCAGGCGCCCTTTATCTGCTCTTTTAAAGACAAGAATAATCATGGGAAATTGAAATCAATAACTAGTAATTTTTAGCTAATATTCTCAAATTCATCTATCACAACTTTAATAAGAACATCTATTCAAAATAAAACCTCTGCTTCTTTCCCCAATCACTTCTAAATGAGTAAAAGGTGGGGACTACCAAAAACAAAAAGGCTTAACCCATTAATTAAAAATTTTTCTCTAATATACTGAAATTTTGCCTCTGTCAACACACACAACTGGTTTAATTAATTTCTTTTAAATATGGCAAGTCTAGATATATACTCATCTATAGTATACCAAATAAGAAATCTGATAGAATTTTTCTACTTTTCAATCAGTTATTTGATATTTAGTACTAAACTGCATTTTGTTTGTAAATAAAATATTTTTACCTCAAAGTAATTGGGCCTTTCTTAACTATATCAAGAAGAGTATAATAACTTGGAATTAAGGAACAAAAGAATTATTGTGTCAAAGGGCCAGATCCATTCTCTGTGGTATATCCCTCTCCTCCTAATCCCTCAACCCCTTAAAAATGTAAAAAATATTCTTAGCCCAAGGATCCCATAAAACTACAAAATATTAACAGAGTATTTCTCACTGAAGGAGCTCTAGTTGCTAGAAGAAATTACATATGCACAGATATATATATGTTCACACAGAGATGTACACACAAATATAATATATATACATATTAAATATATATAATCAGACTCAATGACAAATAGAGAAAATCAGAAATATAGCCTAGAAAAAAGCTTCATTACTTATTCAAAAATAACAAAGTTATTAACAAAATATAACAAACATAATTAACTCTAAGTAGTCCATGTGTTTAGCTTAGGCTTACCTTTAGCTGTGGCATGAACCAAAGCAGCCTGGGAAAATACTTGAAATGTTTCAAAACCCAAATAAGGTAAAGCTGAGAATAAAAAGCTTCTTTTGAAAGATCCTAGATTTCCCATCACCTATGGAAACAATTATGGTCAGAGTTATCAAACACAAAATGTGAAGGAACAGCTACTCCAAGCAAAAATTACATCAATTAAAAAAAATTACAACTTTCTCCTACCCCCAAAGTAATCAATCCTAAGAATACTGGAAGCTCAAAATTTACTTCAAATTCTTCAGTAAAACTATTTCATAGTTACATTACAGGGAGAGCATATCCTGTTAAGAAAAGATTCTTAACAATGGCTAAGGCTAACAATAGTAATTTATCTAAAAATCACAGTCATGCTAACTGCTGGACTGTAAGATCTACATTTTATTTGAGGAGGTATGGATATTATAACTATGAAATAAAATATGAGATACTAATATATAACAGGTACCAATCCTAAGAACAGATAAGATGAAAAATATCAAATATGGTAATTACTACACATAAAAAATGTACATGGATTTAAAGGTATCTTCAAAAGTGATCTACATGGGTGATAGACACTGGGGAGGGTATGTGCTCTGGTAAGCGCTGTGAATTGTGCAAGACTGTTGAATCTCAGATCCGTACCTCTGAAACAAATAATGCAATATATGTTAAGAAAAAAAAAAAGAAGAAGAAGGTAGCGGGAGGGGAAGAATGAAGCGGGGGAAATAGGAGGGGTAGACGAACCATGAGGGACAATGGACTCTGAAAAACAAACAGGGTTCTAGAGGGGAGAGGGGTGGGAGGATGGGTTAGCCTGGTGGTGGGTATTGAGGAGGGCACATTCTGCATGGAGCACTGTGTGTTATGCACAAACAATGAATCATGGAACACTTCATCTAAAATTAATGATGTAATGTATGGGGATTAACATAAGAATAAAAAAATAAAAAATAAAAAATAAAATAAAATAAATTTTAAAAAATGATCTACAAAACCCATAGTTTTGAAATAAACAATGAATAAAATAAAGAACATATCCAAATAGATTTGTAAATGGATTTTCATTATTATAGCCAGAATTCTCAAGACCGAAGGCAAAGGAGTATATGGATATCACTCCACCAATTCTTTCCTACAACAGTTTTTCTCTTTCACAAGATAGTATCATTTTCTCCCTTTCTGTTGATTCATTCCCACTGGTATAAAAACAAGCTATACTATCTTTGTTAGGTTTTTATTTTTCTCTTAAAAACAAAGAGCTTCCTCTTGAATTCACTTCTCCCTTTAATCTCATTTTCTAACTTCTCTTTTCAGCAAAACTTTTAAAAAGTTGTCACTACTCTGTCTCCACTTCCTCTCTTCCCACTCTTGAACTCACACAAATCACTTTTATCCCCACAACACCACTGATGGTATTCCAGTTACAGTAACCAAGGACACAGCTATTTCCTATACTCAATTCTGAATCTCAGCTTCCTTGACCTATCAACAGTATTTGACAGCTGATCCCTTTTTTTATTTTTTATTTTTTTTTAAAGATTTTATTTATTTATTTGAGAGAGAGAGACTGAGAGAGAGAGAGCATGAAAGGGGGGAGGGTCAGAGGGAGAAGCAGGCTCCCCGCCAAGCAGGGAGCCCGATGCGGGACTCGATCCGGGGACTCCAGGATCATGACCTGAGCCGAAGGCAGTCGCTTAACCAACTGAGCCACCCAGGCGCCCTGATCCCTTTTTTTAAAGTTATGAATGGATGTTTTATTTTTTTTAAGATCTTATTTATTTAAGTGAGAGACAGAAAGAGAGAGAGCAATGAGCAGGGGGAGGGGCAGAGGGAGAAGCAGATTCCCCACTGAGCTGGGAGCCCAATGCAGGGCTCCTATGCAGAGACTCTGGGATCATGACCTGAAGGCAGACGCTTAACCGACTGAGCCACCCAAATGCCCCTGAATGTTTAATTTTTTTTACTAAAACAGCTTTAATAAGGGGCGCCTGGGCAGCTGACATTTGTATTTCTTACTGTAAATTAATAAAGTGACAGTTTTCCAGTGGGACTCTGACTAGTTTGGTTAATGTAGAGCACTTTTCTGCTCACCTGTGAGAAAATAGATAGAAATCATGTTTCTGGAACTAAAAAAATAAAAGAATTAAGACCTAGTGACCCCTGAAGATACTAACAACTTGTGAAACTGTCTGAGACAGCTAGAATGTGCCATTTTACTTTGCACCTCCAATACTCTACAATTCCTGTCACATAAATAATTCTCAAAAAATATCTGTTAAACCAAAGAAGTAAGCTATCTGTTAGGTAGGTCTTTTCTTCAACACTAATTATACTAAATTCAAGCTAGAAGGAATTCCAAAATACAAACTCATCACTAGATGGGAAGGAATGTGTCCCTACCATCTCCCAGTTTTCCTCCTAATTTCCTGTCAGCTCCTCCTCCTCTTAAATATTGGAATTTTTCCACGGTAGGTACTAGGTCTTCTTCTTGTCTTACTATAAAGTACTTTCAACCTCTACCATGTTATCATTTACAACCATATGATAATGTCCCCTGAATCTGTATCTCCAGCTCAGACCCCAGAAGGTAAACACCAGACCTATCCAACTACTGTCTATTCTACATGTCAACTTGGCTATCTCATCAATCACCATAACTTGCCCAAAACATCTCATCTCCCTCTTTGCCATTCCCCCCAATTGCTTCTGTAGTCCTATTCCAGTAAACAGCATCACCATCCATCCTGCTGCTCTAGCCAGAAACTTGAGATCTTCCTTGACTCCTTCATTTCAACTCCCACATCAAAGCTATCTTTTAGGTCCACTAAGTTTACATCCTTAATGTACTTTAAATGCACCCACTTATTTCCATTTCCATGATTACCACTAAAGTTCAAGCCACTAGATTTCTCACTGTGCTATACCATCATCCCTTATCTGGTCTATAGCATCCACTCTAACCTATCCATTCTTGACCCTAGACAAAGTTATTTTTTTAGCATTATTTTGATCAAATGATTTCCCTGTTTAAAAATTTTTCATGGTTTCCTATAACCTTTAGAATAAAATGAGAGGGGCGCCTGAGTGGCTCAGTCGGTTAAGTGTCTGCCTTCAGCTCAGGTCATGATCCCAGGGCCCTGGGATCAAGACCCGCATCAGGCTCCCTGCTGAGCGGAGAGCCTGCTTCTCCCTCTGCCTGCCACTCTATCTGTGCTCTCTATCTCTCTGTCAAATAAATAAATAAAATCTTAAAAAAAAAAAAATGAATAAAATCAGAAACACTTAACATTGTTTATATGGTTTTCTGAATCTGGTTGTAGTAAGCAGCCTCTAAAATGGTCCTAATGGGTCTGGTTCAAGATGGCAATGTAGAAGGATCGTGAACACCCATCTTCTCATGGACACACCAAATCTACAGCTACATGCCAAACCATTTCCTCTGAAAGAAACCCAAAAAAAGACTGAAGTCATACCATGCATCTTTTCTGACCACAATGTTATGAAACTAGAAATCAACCACTAAATAAATAAATAAATAAATAAATAAATAAATAAATCTGGAAAGGGCACAAATACATGAAGGTTGAATAACATGCTACTAAACAATAAATGGGTCAACCAGGGAATCAAAGAAGAAATAAAAAAATATATAGGGACAAATGAAAATGAAAACACAACAGTCCAAAATCTTTGTGGAGTGCAGCAAAAGCAGTTCTAAGAGGGAAGTTTACAGCAATACAGACTACCTCAGAAAGCAAGAAAAATCTCAAGTAAACAACCTAACCTTACATCTAAAGAAGCTAGAAAAACAAGAACAAACAAAACCCAAATCCAGCAGGAGGAAGGAAATAGTAAGCATTAAAGCAGAAATAAATTATATAGAGACTAAAAAAACAACTGAATAGATCAATGAAACCAGGAGCTGGTTCTCTGAAAGATCAACAAAATTGATAAACCTTTAGACAGACTCATCGAGAGAGAGAGAGAGGGAGGAGGGAGTCAAAATCAGAAATGAAAGAAGAGAAATAACAACTGACATCTTAGAAATACAAAGCATTATAAGAGATTATGAAAAATCATATGCCAACAAACTGGACAACCCAGAAAAAATGGATATCATCTCCCAAAACTGAATTGGGATGAAACAGAAAATTTGAACAGATGGATTACCAGCAATGAAACTGAATCACTAATCAAAAAACTCACAACAAACAAAAGGCCAAGACCAGATGCTTCATTCTACCCAACATTTAGAAGAGTTAATACCTATTCTTCTCAAACTTTTCCAAAAAACAGAAGAGAAAGGAAAACTTCCAAATTCATTCTATGAGGCCAGCATTATTACCCTGATACCAAAACCAGATAAAGACACTACCAAAGAGAACCCCAGACTAATATCTCTGGTGAACACAGATGCAAAAATCCTCAACAAAGTATTAGCAATCCAAATCCAAAATACATTAAAAATAATCACTCACCACAATCAAGTGAAATTTATCCAGGGATGTAAGGGTGGTTCAATATTCACAAATCAACCAACATGATACAACACATCAGTAAGAGGAAGGATAAAAGCTGTATGATCATTTCAATACATGCAGAAAAAGCATTTGACAAAATACAGCATTCATTCATGATAAAACCCTCAACAAAGTAGGTAGAGAGGGAACATACCTCAACATAATAAAGGCCATATATGAAAAACACAGCCAATATCATTACTTAATGGAGGAAAATTGAGAGGTTTTCCACTAAGGTCAGAAATAAGACAAGGATGTCCATTCTCACCACTTTTATTCAGCATAGTACTGGAAGTCCTAGCCACAGCAATCAGAAAAGAGAAAGGAATAAAAGACATCCAAATTGGTAAGGAAGAAGTAACACTTTTACTAATTGCGGATGACAGAATACTACATGTAAAAAACCCTAAAGTCGCCAAAAAAAAAAGGTACCAGAAGTGATACATGAATTCAGTAAAGTCACAAGATACAAAATCAACATACAGAAATCTGCTGCTCTTCTATACACTAATAATGAAGCAGCAGAAAGAGAAAGGAAGAAAACAATCCCATTTACAACTGCACCAAAAATAATTAA